GCCTCCTCCGCGTCGGCAGGAAGAAACTTCGTGCAGGCGGACCCGTCGATGAACTTGCGCAGCCCCAAGACACCCATCTTCTCGCCCAACACACACGCACACACCTAACACCGTACAAAACCAGAAGGCACGAAAAAAAAAAAAAATACGCCTGTCTCGCCTACAAGCAAGCTCCCCGAAGCAGAACAGTCGGTAGAGAGAAAGGAGAGGAACAGATAGACGGAGAAAGAGAGGGAGAGAAGATAGTCTCACTGCTTGTGTGTCAAACGGAGCACGGCCAAATCGCATCGTGTGTGCTCCGCCCTTCATCCCAACAGAAACACAGTGGATATGGCGCAATTTACCGCTCCAGGCCGCAAGGCCCACACACACACAGACACACACACAGCATAACGTCAATGTGATCAAGCAGCAGCACACCATCAGAAGCTCAGCAACGAGCCAACACCGTGCGGCGTCCCTCTGGCTTTCTGCGCGCCGCTTTTTTCCTGGTCGACGCTCTCGCCGGTGCCCTCACAGGTGCTACGATCTGCTGCAGGAAAGGTCTCAACAGCACCTTTGTCGCTGCTGTCGTTGTCGTTGTTTTCCTCAAGCCACGCCTGCGCAGGCGTCTTTGCTTTCCTCCCACGGCGCCCCTTCGCCTTCTTCGGCGCCTCGCTGCCCTCATCGGCAGGCAGACTTTTCGTGGTGTCTCCAGCTGCAACTGGAGCGTCGGCACTAGCATCCCTCTCACTTTCCTCAGGCGTCACCGCCTTCTTACGTGTCTGCCTCACCCTCTGTTTCGCTTTGGTCTCCTCCGCTTTCCCAACGTCTTCTTGCTGCTTCACCTTCTCTATTTCATGTGTGTCTGTCTCCTCCAAGGAGGACAGCCTCCTCCGCCTGAAGCGGGAGTAGAGTTGGTTGTCGTCGTCACGCCACTCCACCTCTCTCTTCCGCACGCACTCCACGATGCGGCTCTCAAGATCCGAGAGGCGGGCCGCCTTCTCGGTGCGGTGGCTTGTGAAGTAATCGTGCACACCGTCGTCGTCGTCGTCGTCGTCGTAACTGCCGCTGCTGCGGTTGCTATTGACAACAGTGGCGGTTGTGCCGCCCGTCGTACCGTCACGGCGGCATTCTCCCGACTCACGTGACTGCGCCACGACAGCTGCGGATTTCACCGTCGTGTTCTCCCCTTCCGCTGCTGCCGCTGCTACTTCGTTGAGCCGCTTCATTGCCAGCACATTGTCGTGATGGACCTTCTTGTAGTAATCCATCCACTTGGGCAGCACCTCCACCAGCTGACCGCTGACGCGCATCTGCCAGTCCGTCTGAATGCGTGTAGCGGCTGAAAAAACATTTGTCAGTTGTTTCTGCCGCAGAAACGGCACGGGAATGTCATTCGCGNTGACGCGCATCTGCCAGTCCGTCTGAATGCGTGTAGCGGCTGAAAAAACATTTGTCAGTTGTTTCTGCCGCAGAAACGGCACGGGAATGTCATTCGCGCGGAGGAGCTGAATGCCCAAGTACGCGAGGTCCGTGTTGCCCGTCTCCTGCCCCGCGGCGAGGAAGAGATCCGCCGCCGCAATTGCCCGCTCACGCTGGCTGTCGGCTGGAAAGCACAAGGCAGCGGGGGCACGCCCGTTGGCGAGGCCGAGGATGAGGCCCGGGAGTATCTCCAACACCGCCCGCTTGCGCGTCGGCACCAGCAGGTCCATCGCCAGCTGGCGTAGGAACGGCACCAGCAGCTCCTCCGGCAGCCGGTGCCTGCGCACTGCCGCCGTCAGCGGCATCACCGGCTCCACATCCGCGTAGAAGGCGTCGAGGCCGTCGCACAGCTTCCGCCACGTCGCGGCACCCATCGCCTCCACCACACACGACGGGTTCTGCAGCGTCGCTGGGCCGTCGGTGAACCAGCGGCACATCACTTCGCCCGCGCACGCCGCGTCAGGCACGANGTTCTGCAGCGTCGCTGGGCCGTCGGTGAACCAGCGGCACATCACTTCGCCCGCGCACGCCGCGTCAGGCACGAGGCCGCGCTCGAGCACCACCGCGACGACGTCGACAAAGGGCGTGTACAGCAGGTAGAAGAGCGAGCGAGGGTAAGAGGAGACGTTCAGCCGCACCTGGTTCTCAATCTCCGTCGTCGACAGCTCCTCCGCGGGGCCGGCGGTGAGGCCACCCATCGGGTCGTCGAACAAATTCATCTCCAGTGGGTTGAAGGCGTTCGCGACGTTCCGCGAGCGGCCGGCGAAGCTGACGGCGTCGAATTTGTTAAACCCACCTCGCCGCTGCTGCAGTAACGGTCCCGTCGAGCGGCGGCAGGCGAGCAGCAGCGGCGCCCTGCGCCAGCAACGGCCAGTAGCAGCAGCAGCAGCAGCATGGTCGTGCGGCAAACACTGCAGGAGGGACTGCGGCGCATGCGCGGTCCAGGCGCGCGGCACGAGTCTGCCCATCGGTGCGCTGATCTATCTCACTTCCCCGGCCCAACCACTCGCTGGGGCGGTGTGCAGGACCGCGTCCACGAGAGGTACCGCGCAACGAAGAGTAGTGGAGAAAGGCAGATAGGGAAGCAGACAGTACAAAGCACACCAACTCAATAGAGAACATCCGATACTTTTCCTTCTACTTCTCTCCATGTCTCCTCTGTGGTCTACGTAACACTCCACGCTTCGCACAGCGCATTCACAGATCTGAGTTACGTAACCCCCAGAGATACCGCGTCACGACGGCAGCGTGTCGGTGGCACCACTCACTCCAGCTGCGGCCTCCCTCAGCACATCCACAAAGAAATCCACGTCGTGCCGGCTCAAGCACTCGCCACTATCGTCCGTATCGTCACCATCAGCAGCGGTAGAAGGAGAAAGACTCACACAAATGTGCAATCGCCGCTGTATTCGCGTGAGCCCAAGCGACACACGGGGCGGGCGTCGGCCCCCTTCATCGTCGCTCGCTGCGTGGCGTGCCGCAAGAATGTTGCTGCAGCGCCGCATCAGTGCCGCCGTCTCCTCATCGGCGAGGGTGAGCCAGCGCAGCAGCACCATGCCGAAGCAGGAGGCATGCACCGCGCAGTCAAAGCGGCCGTCCGCACGCAGCCGCTGCTCCAAGTAGCGCAGGGCAGCCTGGTGCTCCCGCACAGCGTGTCGGATGCAGCCATCCTCCCTGCGCTGCATGAGCGTGAGCGCAAGCGTGATAATATCGCGCGACCGCATCTCTGGATTCTCCAGTCGAAGCCGCGACACATCCGTCGCAGCGGGCGTGCACCACCCGTTTGCCCCCGTCTCGTCCTCGCTGTGCATGCGCTGCAGCGCCACACCGACCTTCGCCACGTCCGCCACGTACAGCAGCGACGCAGGCGACACGGCGGAAAGTGTTGGCAAAAATGACGTCGAAACACCAACGTGAATGGAATCCGCAGTAGCCGCAGCTCTGCGGAAGGCTGATGCGTGCTGCTGCCACGCCGCCTCTGCCGCCGCATTCCACTCTCCCATCGCTGCAGACTGTGCGCCCGGTTCAGTTTCCCGCTGCTGTTGCTGCACAGAGTGGGCATTAGCGGAAGCCACAAGCGCCAAGCCAGAGTGGCTTGCGTCAATGTGGAACCACACCTTCACCCTGCGGCACAGTTCTGCAAGCTGGTCGAGCGGATCAACCGCGCCAGTGGTGCGGGACCCAAACACCCCACACACCAGCAGCGGGTAGAGGCCCTGCGCAACATCCTCCGCGAGTGCCGCCTTCAGCATGTCCACCTGCATCGGGTAGTTGTGCGCCAGCGGTGAGTACACCGTTTGGAGTGTCCGAATGTGATGAATGCCCACACAGCGCGCCGCCTTCCTCAGAAGCGGCTGGCATTGGTCACTGCAGTACAGCACCAGCTGCTGCGTCAGGCGAGCCTCGTCCTCTGGGCTGGAGAAGTGTGCACTGAGGTAGCGTGCGTGGGCCTGCGCTCGAGCAGTCGTGAGCAGCACAATCAAACTCTCCAGCGACGTGCTGTGCAGCAGCCCACCACCACCGCTGTCGCCGTGGCTGCCAGTGGCCCTCACAGTGGATGTGTGCGTGTAAGAGGCCGCTGGCACGAATGGTGAGTGGCGTGAGTGTGGCAAGGGTGGATCCGCCAGCCCCGGTATTTTCTCGTCTGCCCTTACTCCCAGCTGCGGCGCCCAGTAGAAGCGCGGCGGCAGGTGCAGGAGTGCCGCAACACTGTCGCTTACGTCCTTCTCGAGGGCGGCGAGCGCGTGGCTCTCCATAACGTGTGTGACGCTGTTGTTGCGGTGCGGCTTCGGGAACAGCGCAGCAAGCAGCGACGCCTGCAACTCCGCCACGTTCCACTTCGCGTCGAGCTGGCAGTGCGCTGCCGCAATGCTGCGAAGTGACGCCACGAGCTGCCGCTGCTGGCGCCCACCCTCACGGCCACATGTGTCTTTGCCCACAAGGGAAGGGAGGCCGAATCCCAGCGACGACGGGCATGACGCTGGCGGTGCGTGCGTCACGCTGTGCAGCAGGCCGCTGAGGTACTGCGCGCTGCGCTGCAGCAGGGACGCCACGCCGGATCGGTTCCGCGACGCACTCGGCAGCATCGCATGTCTTTTTCTTTTTACTTCGCTGCGTTGATGTATTTAACAGAGAGAGAGAAAGAGAAAGAGTGAAGTGGCAACAGCCATGTAAACTCTTCAGCCGCAGGACTAGAGGCAATGCACATCCCCTCCCGCCGCAGCAATACCATGCCCCTTCTCTCTCTGCCTCTGCTTACTCGTTACAAGTCAGAATGATTACACAGCCTGCAGCAGCAATAGCAGCAACAACAATAGCAGCGCTGCTGCTGCTGCCGCCTGGCACGCCGCCAGCAGTCCGCCACGCCCCGCATGAGAGAATGTCTAGAGCGCCCGCACCCTTCCACCTGCCCACCTACAGCCTCAGTGCCCCCAACGCCCAAGACCGCTAATCGGAATCCTGCGTCCCTTCACCCTTCCCCTCCTCGTCGCTGTCGTCGAGCTTCACGAGTGTGTTCTGCCGCGGCTTTCCACGCGGGTGGTTGAGTTCCCCGCGCACCATTTTTGTGTGCTCCTTCCGCGCCTGCTTGTCATCCTCGCGGCGGTCGTACGTGTCGAAGCCGTCGCTGACGGGCACCCCGCTGCTGGCCTGCAACTCCGCCAGCGGCGGCGGCGGCCAGTACTTGCTCTTCGCCACAACAACAAACATCGGGTCCTTCGGGATGGGATCGAACGCCAGCGAGGACGTCTGCCCTGTGTCGGCTGCATTATTCCCGCTGCCGCTGCTGGGGTCCTTGGGGCCGCTGCCGCTGCCGCTGCCGCGTTGGGCGCGGTCCTCGTAGATGCGCGCAACGTCCACCTGCGGCGCGTGCACTTCGCTCTTCCTCGGCAGCCGCACGGTGGAGAACTGCCGCGCCTCGAGCGCCTTGTTGGTGACACGCACCCGCTGCTTCTTCGCCTGCTGTTTTGGAGGCATCGGCAGACTTCTCTCTCCCTCTCTCCGTATATGGGTGCGTCTATCCCGCTCAACACTATGGCTGTCCCACGGCTCCAACTTTCCTCTGGCCTAGAGATGAAGCAAAGGATCGGAAAGAGCATAGGAGAGAAGGCCGCTACACAAGCCGGCAACGATGGCATCAAAGACAGAGTAATATTGCCTCCAAATGAACCACAACAAGGGAGCCGAGGTGTTCAAATACGGAGCGTGCACCACGACAGAAATAAAGACCTCTAAATGTCAATAGCATAAAAAGAGTGATAAAACCGTACTTCACGCATCAGTACCATAATTTTAAACCGTGGTGGATATTCTGCCTCCGTCTGATGGCAGAAACAGCTACTGCTACTACAATGAGGAATCCCATGACCCCAAGTGAAATAAATACCCCGCGCAGAGCCTCAAGAGCACCTCCAGTGAGTGCTGGCAGATGTTTCAACTTCATTATCGTGAGTACCCATGCGCATATGACCGACCCCTCTCCGGCACTGCAAATCCAGTGGTTGATTCTCAAAGGTGCCGTGAAGCACAGCGCCCAGCTCGAGGTGAGACCCCACTTCTTTAAACTGCGTGACGCGGAGAAACCACAAAACAAAAGCCTACGATCTACCACCCTGCCCGTATTCTTCTCATTCGCGGTGACGCATTGCCGCTTGCTGCCTGCCTATCGGCAGCGGCCACCAGGCAGAGTGTGGGAGGCAATGCCTGTGAAAGACTCACGGCCCCACCAAGAGTAGCAGTGAAACCCAAAAGGGAAATGTTATTTTCGTCTCATCTTCTCACACACATACGCACCCCTCTCCTAGAGGTGTATTCAAGCACCAATAAGCGCGAGCACACAAACTCACACCAGCGTCTGCCCTACGACGTCAAGTACAACACCAACAGAACAATGAGAAGGGCGGCGCAGTAATCCGTGGGGATGCTCAGCTGCTGGCTGTGGAACGCCTCCGCCTCACGTGCCTGCGTCATGGCGGCCTCCACGAACGGCGGCGCCTCTTGGTTTATGCACGCACACTTCTGGTACGTGATGTGATTTGTGCGCTCCAGCATGGCGTGCATCAGCTGCGGGGCGAAGGAGGACAGCAGCAGCCACACAGGGAAGAGCACAACTTGTGTCAGCGCCATTGCCGCACGCCACGCAATCGCATCCGCAGGCGACTTCTTCGCCATGACGTCCAGCCACTGCTGCATTGTCTCCGTCTTCTGGGTGAGCTCTGTCATGAGCACCGGTATCACCTTCCGCTGCGCCGGGTAGAGGAAGAAGCTGGAGAAGTAGTGCACCATCGACAGCGTGAAGAGTGGTGTGATGCAGAGCGACTCGACGAGGGAGAAGTGGCGCGCATGCTGTGCGTTGAACTTGCGCGGGATGTCGGCGATGAAGACGTTGTGGCCGGCCAGCATGTCACCGAGGAACTCGCCGCCTTTGCGAGGGTACCACTGGAACAGCTGCCGCACCGAAGCCGGCACCTCCATCTTGTGCGCAGAGCGCAGCCACACACTCCGTGTGAGCATACGTGACGCTATGTGCGTAACTAAGTCCTGCGGTGCGTGTGTGGACGCCTCTTCCTAGTGCAGAGCGGCAAGAAGCGGGAGCAGCGGCATGCGCAATCACAACAAGCGTTCGGCCCCAGACACAAGGACAAATCAAGCACACTGTTATCGTCTCCACATTATCCGCCTCTCCCATCGCCGAGAGAGAGAGGTGAGCTGTCTTCCCAGCTTCATTACACCTCCACTGCTGCTGCTACCTTCTGGGGGACAAAGACACATTCGCATACGCATGCACTTCATTCCTCTACGCGGAAACATTTGTTCAGGTTTTTTTTCCCCTCGATTTATTAATCACTGCGACAGTAGCGCATGTGCGCGGGACATGAGCAGCTTTCCTGGTCGGCCGTGCATCTGCCGCTCCGTCAGCAGTGTCCACACCGTCGGCTGCGCCCTAGCTGTGCGTGACGCTGCCGCAAAGAACGCACTGACGCCTTCGCCCTGCGCGGCGTCCTCCTCCTCGACGTCCTTCGTGCAAGCGTCGGCTGCGGCAGCGCCGTGGAGGAGCGTGCGGGTGCGTATCGTGAGGCACTCCAGCAGGCTCTCCTCCTTCCCCGGCGCGAGCAGCATTCGCGGGAAGGCGTAGTTGACAATCACCTCCACACGCCGCCTCGACGCGTCGTGTGCCGATACCCCGGCTGATGCGGCGCTGGTGCACAACGCCCAGTCGTACGTCACCAACACGTCGGCGTTGCCGCGCTGAAAATCGTGCATGTCGCACGTGGCACGCACCTGCGCGGCACGGCGCTGCAGGCCGGCCAGCAGCTGCGGCAGCACCGCCTCCTGCTCCCTGCGGGACGCCACCACAATGGCCACTTGTCCCACTGACGGTGGCAACGAACCAACAGCAGACCCAGGAGCAGCGGAAGAAGAAAAGGAGGGATCCGCCACGTCAGATGCGTCGGACGAGCGGAAGTGCTGCGCAACAATTTGAATGAGACGATCCACCTTGACTGCCTCGACGCGCTCAAACATCGGCTGCGCATTCCGTTCCTCCATCCCCTCTACAGCCACCACCTCGGCCAAGTGCTGCACGCCACACCACACGGTATCGTCGCGTTGTCGGTAGCTGTTCACCACATCGGGTGTGTCGCGCAGCAGTGTGTTGCGCAGCCATCCCTCCACCTCATCGTACATTCGCGAGGCCGACACGATGTACTGGCACTCTACATCGACTGCATTGGAGACGGAAATCCACCACGACGCGTCAACAGCAACCTGCGAAGTGGGCTGCGCCACGCGGTCAGCGTCGCTGACACACACAACACGGACGCACTCCAGTGGCAGTACTTCGGCCTGGCCACGCACCTTCTCCAGAGCCTCTGCAATCGACTGGTGTGTCGTAATAAGGATAGGCACACGCTGCTGCAAGAATTTCGGGATCTCTTTATGGGGCGCATGTACCGCGACGGGATTGTAAACAACTGGCGGAGGCACTGCTGTTGAAGGTACACTCATGGTAGGGATGTCCGGCACCTGTTGAGTGTCGGAATTGTCGTGCCGTTCAACTCTTGCTTGCTGTTCATCGCGGCGCCTTCGGTGGTGGTGGCGGTGCAGTGTCCTGCTGCTGCTGCTCCGCCTCCTCTTTCTGCTACTGCTGTGGTGACTGCGCCGCCGCGAACTCCTGCGACTACGTCTCCGCTCATCGCGGTGATGGCTGCGGCTATGACTCCGTCGGTGGCGGCGCTTTCTGGAGTGATTCGAATCGCTGCGATGACGTCGTCGCTTCTCCCGCTTGTGCGACGTCGGTGATTCGCTGCGATGGTGATGGCGGTGACGATGCGACGCCTCGCGGCTCCGCCCACGGGACACGTGCCGGTGTTGGCGTGTCTGATCCACCTCTGCCCTCTGCGGCGGTTGTGGGGGTGGTGGCGTCGCTGCTGTTACTGCTGCTGTTAGCTGTTGTGGCGCCACTGCCGCTTGTTGACCAGCGCCCGCGTAGCGGCCGAAGCGCTCCTCGTGCATCACCGGCAACGCGACAAGCTCGGCTTCGCCACGACGAAATGTAACGGGCGAAAACGCATCCGCCGTGAAGACAGCCTGAAGCCAGCGGTTGCACTGCTGAACTTCGCTGAAGCTGTTCACAAGAATCATCGCACGCGGTTGCATCATTTGCGCCTCGCCAGCCTCACGGTTCATCACATCCTCGCTAGGTCCATCTTCATTTTCCGAATTGTGGCTACCACGTGCCAGCGTCGCGGCCGCCGTGGCCAGCCACCCTGCTGTCTTCTTTCCGGTGGCTCTTGGACCGATACTGACGGTGTGGTGGCCCAGCAGCATTGACGTCAGTGTGAGTTGCTGCAGTGCCGTCAGCACCAGCTCCTCTCCATCCGCCTCCACTGCGGCAGAAACAGCATTCACAGAGCCGTCAGCTTCTGCAGCCACTGCTCCGCCAAAGACAGCTTCCCGTAGCTCCTGCAAGTTTGGCCTTCTCGATGCGCGGGGCCGCAGAAGCTGGCGTTGAAGGCGTGCGAGGACAAACGGTGGAAGCTGCAAGTCCTTTAGACGCATGCACGGTGGTGGCGGCAACCGTGCAGTGCACTCAATTCCATTCAGCACGCAGAACTGTGACACAAAGCCAGAGGACATGAGGTGCTGAAGCATGTAAGGCGTGGGCGTCCACGAGCTGCGCGAGGTGAGTGCGGCAGCAGCTGTGCCGTCTTTTGCGGACACATTCTCGTCGTTATGACGGCCGCCTCCCCTGTTGCTGCCTTCGCTGTTGTCGCTGTCATAGCCTGCGATTCGGTGAGCCGCCGCACGCCGTGGGACCACACGCTCCGGCAGCACGTCGTTTGGCCCCGCCTCCATCACCATCTGCCAGAGGGACTTCTGCGGCGACGCCGGCGGAGCAGTGTTGTCCGACGCACGCACAAACTGCGGGAAATCAAACTCCATCTTGTTCTATTCAGCTTTGTGTGGGTGTCTGTGTGCCTGGTGTACAAAAAGGGTTCTGCGTAGTTGCGCCGGAAATAATCCCTTGCACGCGACCAAAACTTACAGGAAGGATAGAATCAGTTGGGGAAAAATACATGCGGGGGCTATCCGCAGACACACACACACACACACACGCACGCACGTGTATGTGGGTGGGTCAGTATCAGTTGTGTATAGGGAGGCCACCCCCACGCCTTGCTGTTCGCCTTGGATTGACAGAGAAAGAAAATCCACAGCGCTACACTCATCGAGGCGCCGCACGTCACCGCTGCCCTCCGCCACGCAATGGGGGCCGCTCCACCACGTGGGCCCATGCAAATAACCAACGGGAAAAAAAAAACAACTACAAAAAAACAGACGCTTCATATCCCTAATACGCTACCTCGCCTCCTCGGTGTGTGCAGGAAGGTGAGTTCCCGTCAAACTTGGTGCTGTTGCTATTTGTTCTTTCTCTCCCACATCCCCTGCGCCCACAACTTCACAGATCTTCTTTTCTCTTTTTTCATCCTCCTTTTCCTTCAGCCAATATTCGGCACGAACGCACAGCACGCACGCGACGCATGCATCCGTTAGCGTGGGTGTGCGTGTGTCTGCGTCTGCCTCGAGCCGCCGCTCACTCGGCAGAGCGCTGCAGGCACGGGTGCGTGTCGCTCTGCCGCAACATCCGCCCGTCGTCCAGCGGCGTCTGGTGGCGGCCGCTGATGATGCGCAGCGTTGCGTCCGCGATCTTCTCCACCGCCTCGCGGCTGACGCTCACCTCGCCGCGCTCGGGGTACTCCAGCAGCGTGAACATCAGCGCCGAGTCGTCGATGGGGCCGTCGTTGAAGACAATTGCGTGCAGCAGCTTCGCCGTCGCGTCGTTGAAGGGGACGCCGAGGAGGTTCATGTCCTCCAGCACCTGCATCGCCATGCGGTGGGCGTGCGGGTTGCGCTCGCCGCAGATGCGCAAAATGTTTGCTATGTCGTTGAAGATGAGCGTGTCGAACGCGGACTTGCCGATGGCCTTGATGAACTCCTGGCACTCCTGCATCTTCTGCTGCACCTTCACGAGCTCTGTCTTCTGCTTGTCGAGGTAGTCCTGCTTGAAGGCGGAGAGACCACGCTTGAGGTCGTCCTTGATGTGGAAGTTGTTCAGCTCGTGCACCTTGTACTCCGCGTACTTCACACGCGCCGGCAGCAGCGTCTCCTCATAGAACGTCAAAAGCTGCCGTACGCTCGTCCACGCGGTGGTCTTGAACTTCTCCTTCGCACCAGCGACGGGCTGAAGAGCAGCAGCAGCGTCTCCGCTGCCGCACTTCGCCGCCTTCACCTCCGCCGTGACCTTCGTAATGTCCTCCTCCGCGTCGAGTGTTGCGATGAGTGGGGCGAAGCGGGCGCGCGCGAGGTCAACCTCCGCAAACAGAATCTCCGCCGGCCTGCAGGTCTTGTCGAGGATGGGAGCAGGGACTTTGAACGCCTGCGCCACCTCCTCCTTCGTGACGGCCGTGCCCAACTTCGCGGATGACTTTGCGAGCGGAACGTTGCGCATGACGGCGGCCGATGCCACGAAGCGGAGCAGTCGGCGGGAGTCGTTCAGTGCGGTTGCTAAGCGGCGCATTGTGCGTGGTAAGGAATCTCCTGCAGCAACTGTGTGTGTGAGAGAGTGAGAGAGAATGGGGAGAAAGAAACGGAGTGGCAGTATAGCAGCAGCTACTGGAGAACGGCAATCGAAGGTTCACGGCCACTCCCTATGTTTAGCATCACACATGTTTTCTCCCCATATATCAGTGGCAATTACGAATTTATACGCTCAGACACACACCTCCCACTTGCAGCCGCGATCAACAGCAGCAGAAGCGGCGGACGTTACTAAAAGACTGCTTCAAAGCCCTATCACTGATTCATCACCTTACCTTTTGTCACACACAGTCACACAGACATGCTCCCTACTCCTTCACTCAATCGTCTTGACACGTCCACGGAACTCATCCAGCGTCTTGTATCCCTTCTTCGCCATGATGTCCTGCAGCTCCGTGCAGAGGCGCGCAAAGATGCCAGGGCCCTCTTCATGCAGTGCTGTCCCCACCTGCACCATCGACGCCCCAGCAAGGACGTGAAGAAAGGCATCCTCGCCACTGTATACACCACCGCAGCCGAACACCAACTTGTCCGGGCAGCGGCGGTAGAAAGCATTCACGTTGGCAAGGGCGGTAGGCAATATGTACTTGCCACCAATGCCGCCGAACCCTTGCTTCGGCTTAATGACAACGGTCTCACTCTCGGCATCGATCACAAGGCCATTACCAATGCTGTTCACGCACGTCACAAACTTAACAAGGGGGAAATCGTTCAGCACAGCGGCGGCCATGTCGAAGTGTGCAATATCGAAGTACGGCGGCATCTTGACGCCGAACGGCAGGCCGTACGCAGCTTAGACTTCCTGGAGGTATGAGCGCATCACTGCAAAGTCGTACGCCACCTGCGGCCCGCCAGGGACGTTCGGGCAGGAAAGATTCAGCTCCAGCACAACGCTTCTCTCCCGCGCAACAGGAGCGAGGCGCTGCACCATCACCACGTTCTCTTCCACTGGGAGACCAGACATGGAGAGGAACAGCGGCTTGCTGCCGTAGTCGTGCAGCTCGGCGGCGTAGCGCAGGTAGACGTCGAAGCCCAGGTTGGGCAGCCCCATCGAGTTGACGCTGCCCAGCGGCAGGCAGTGGTAGCGCGGCTCCGGGTTCCCAGCACACATAACAGTCGTACAGCTCTTCGAAACCTGCGAGCAGCTGGACGACGTTGTTATGCAGCGCACGACTTCCTCGCAACTCCACAACACACTGCTGTTTTCATCAAGAGATTCGTGAACTACTCACAGAAAATAATAAGCTTCAGACTCATTGCAACTCTCTAGTGAATTGCCATATCAAGTAAAAAAAAACTAAGAGAGTAAAAAAGGTAGCAGCAGAACAGCAAAACCAAGACTGGCATTCTACAGCAAAAAAAACGAAAAATCCAAATACAAAGCAACCCATTAGAGAAAAGAGATCTGGACAGCGGAAGAGGCGCACACACCCCGCTGGAGTCTACACCCACAAGGCCCCAAAACAAAGAGGGAACAACGAGGCAGCAGCAGCGCACGTGGACGCAATTGTACTGCTGGTGCTCACGTCCCTTTATGTGTGTCCCGGTGTGAGTGGCGCAGACACGGCGGGAGGGGCGGAGCGAAGGACGCACCACACACGAAGATAAAAAGAGTATCCCCCAGCAGGAGAAACAGTTAGTGGGCGGCGCACAGCAGCGCGCAAAGCAAAGCCCAAGCAAGAAACGAAAAGAAATCACGCCTCCTCTTCCCACAGTGCGTGTCGTCAGGGGCAAGTGGGTCGGCGTTACGCCCACAACGGGGCAGCAATGAAACGAAAACAGAAGAATCTTAACAATCAGGAGTGCAGTCCTCAGCACTCAACGCAATTACGGCGGGAGCATCGCCGTCCTATGAACCTACACACAAGTCTTACCTCACAGCCACACAGGCCAGCAGCAGCAGCATCAGCGGCGCACGCACCCACGCGGGGACGTCGCTGCCATCTGTGTGCTGAGCAAGAAGCTTCTCGCCATCCGCAGCGCCATCAGTCTTAGGCAACGACGCACCAGCAGGAGGTGACGAAGTGGCATCAGTGGCTTCGGGTTGCTGAGGACCGATAAGTCCTTTTGGTTCGTCTCTTTCACTCACTTCGCTCTCCAGAAACTTCTCTTTTTGATTCTCACTCTCCTTCTGTTTCTTTTCAGCGGCTTCCAGCTCCTTATTGGCTTGCTGCAACGCCGCTTCAGCTGCTGATTTTTCATCTTTAGCTGACGTAACGGCAGCCTCCGCATGCTCCATTGCAGCCTGCAGGAGGGCCACAGGTTCTGTGGCTTCGTTTTCAGTTTCCGTAAAAGTAGGAAATATCGCCTCTGTCTTGGTTGTCAATCCCTTTAAGGCAGCATCTAACTTATCACGATCTGCTTTTTCGAGTGCCTTGTGTTGAGCACCTTCACCCTCTTTCTTCACACTCGATTGAGCAGTTTTGGCCAATTCATCCACCTTCTGTGCTGCACTAAGTGCTGCAGTCGTTGCTTTAAGAAGTTCCTTTACCGTTTGCTTCGCATCGTTCAGCTTCTTGAGGTACGCATCCGCAGCAGCACTTGCTTTTTTAACCTCTTCTTCAGCTTTCCCTACCGCAGCCGCAACATCATCCGCTCCTTTCGGTATACTCACCACCGCTTGTTTAGCTTTGTCCATGGCCGCCTTCACGTTCTTCTCCCCTGTCTTCACCTCTTTCAGGAGAGACTCAGCGTCCGACACTGCCTTGGTAGCCTCAGCGTCTGCATTTGTGGCCGCCGAAACTGCATCTGTAGCCTTTTTGACTGCTATTGCAGTCTCTGAGACTGCGTTAGTAGCATTCGATCCAGACCATTTAGCAATTTCCGGTGCTTCTTGAGTGTTCGTCTCAGCCTTATCAGCAAGCACTACAAGCAGCTCCAACGATTTTACAGCAGCGAGCGTTTTTTTCGAAGCCTGGCCCCCAAGCTCCGCTGCCTCCTTGGCGCCTTTCTTCAGTCTACCCATTGCGTCCTCTGTTGCCTTCTTGGCAGCCTTCTGCTCCTTCACAGCTTTACTCAGTGCATCTTTTAGGGAAATTGCTGCTTCCTCCGCTTTCCTTGCTGCCTCCACGGCCTCCCTCTTTGCAGCGACGACTGTCTCCTTCAACGACATATCAGACGCACCAGCAGCACCACCTGTGGGAGGCGCGGCGGAAGTATCAGCAGCAG